TCTCTTTCCTCTCTCTCTCTCTCTCTCTTCCTTTCTCACATCGTATGGGGCTGCACACAAACACCTTCTCCAAGGGCTGCTGATCTCCGGCAGCAGGAAGGGGGGGGGGGGGGTGGTGAGTTTGCAGCCCCATACGATTCGTCAGTGTAGGGAGGGAGGGAGATCCCACAGAACACAGCACAGCTCACCTGCTCCGGGCTTATTCCTCTCTGACACTTCTCTCCCTGCTCCAGGCTGTCCCCTGGTCCCGGCTCGTCAGCTGCTGGAGGGAGAGGTACAGGAGCATCGCTCTGCACCTGCCCTCCCCCGCATCGATTCTCCTGCTGTCCAGGCCACTGCAAGGGTACCGGTGCGACCCCCTCTGCTGGCGGCCCTGCATAGCTCTGTCTGCTGCTGCCCAAAAGGTCCCTTCTTCCGGGGAACGGTGCCTCGCGGTAGATACGCCCCTGCCCTGGGGGGTGCACTTGCCCCCACCATAGTTTCCACTCGCCATTGGCGAGCAGGCGATTGAAAATTTCAAGCCCTGCACTAACATACAATTTTGAGGACAAGCTTTCGGGGTATGTCCCCTTCAAGGTCCAGGCAGTAATACAGCTACAATCACCTCAAGTAATATAAATCGAAAAGTCATTTTCAATATTTTTTACTGCAGGTTTTGTTAAAATAATCCCTGGTGATCTGCTGTTGTGATGGATTTGGTAAAATGCCTATTTAGTTTCCTATTGAATATATATATATATATATATATATATATATATATATATATATGCTATTTCTATAAGTTTTATAAATATTTACTTTTATACTTTAATACATATGTGTTGTGTGAATATTTTCTGCCTGCTGGGCTTTGTGGTACTATAAGAAATCCTTGCTTAAGAAATGTCTGCTCACACACACAGACCCCCTCCCATCATGTGATTTGGGAAACAAAGGAATGTTTTTCTTCTCTATAAGATAAGATGGAAGAAGATCACACCTATACCATGACGGAGATTGTTTTCGTGTGGAAATGACCAATCAAAGACTAATATAATGCTTATGCTGTTGTCACATGACTCTTGCATCATTCTGCATATATAAGTTCACTTTCTCATTATAATAAACTAGAAGTATTCATAGACTGAACTTGTGTGTCAGCGTGAGTTTCTTCCAGTGTGCGCACATTCCAAAGCTAGCATCATAAATTAGGACAGGAAACAGATAAGCAGTGGACAATTAAGTCCTATACTAAAACACTGTGAAGGTACTTTTTCGGGTATTTTTCTATAGGGTGACACTGCTTACTGTTTTCACCATCAGGAAACCTGCCCTGAGAAATACAGAGAACAAAAAAAAAAGTTGAAGATACGGTGCCTTGAAAAAGTAATTAAACCACTTGCAATTTTCCACATTTTGTCATTTTACAACCAAAAACGTAAATGTATGTTATTGGGATTTTATGTGATAGACCAGCAATGGGCAAACTACGGCCCGCGGGCCGTATACGGTCCGGCGGACCTTTTAATCCGGGCCGCGGAGCGTGGCAAACATTGGCTGTCAGGATGTAGGCGGGGCAGCGTGACGAACGTGAGGGGAGCTAGGCTCCTCTCACAGTCCGCCCTGAAGACCGGAACGGCGCAGGAACACGGCGAGAGGAACGCGCGGAGCAAAGGTAAGTGAATTGACACAATATGGGGAATGAATTACTATGGGGGGATGAATTACTATATGGGGGATGAAATTACTATATGGGGGATGAATTACTATAGGGGGATGAATTACTATATGGGGGATGAATTACTATATGGGGGATGAATTACTATGAGGGATGAATTACTATATGGGGGATGAATTACTATGGGGGATGAATTACTATGTGGGGATGAATTACTATGTGGGGGGATGAATTACTATGTGGGGGATGAATTACTATGGGGGATGAATTACTATATGGGGGATGAATTACTATGTGGGGGATGAATTACTATATGGGGGATGAATTACTATGTGGGGGATGAATTACTATATGGGGGATGAATTACTATGGGGGATGAATTACTATATGGGGGATGAATTACTATGGGGGATGAATTACTATATGGGGGAATTACTATAGGGGGGATGAATTACTATATGGGGGATGAATTACTATATGGGGGATGAATTACTATGGGGGATGAATTACTATGGGTCCAGCCCCCGGGTCCAATATATGAACCCATTGCGGCCTTCAAGTCAAAAAGTTTGCCCACCCCTGTGATAGACCAACACAAAGTGGCACATAATTGTGAAGTGGAGGGAAAATGCTAAATGGTTTGCAAAATTTTTCACAAATTCTAGCTGCAAGTCTTTTTGGGGATGTCTCTACCAGCTTTGCACATCTAGAGAGGGACATTTCTGCCCATTCTTTGCAAAATAGCTCAAGCTCTTACAGAGACATCATGTCCTTTGAGGGCAATCATAATGCTGATGCGGCCCACAGTGAAATTGATTATGATACCCCTGCCTTCGCTGCTCCATTCGTTAGTAGCACTATGACATAATCACGTACAATGCAGGACCAATGGACCTGCATTGCCAGTAAGGACTCTGAGAACCCATCTACAGCTCGGAGCTTCAGAGGGAAGAGGAGAGTGCTGGGGTAGCATGAGATAATGTAATTTAAACTGCTTTTTAATGTTTCCCTGTATAAAAACAAGTATTAACCCTTGCAGTACGGGGGAAGGCGGGGTCTGGAGTCCTGCTGACAGGTTGGTTTTCACCGGATTTCAACTTTTTTTTTTTTTTTTTGGGGTGAGGGTTTTCCATATGACCAGATAAAACGTTTTATTTTTGTCAGAGTTGGGAAGAATAAATCCCCCTGTCAGGTTTTACCCAATAGTAGTAAGAACCCAACAGGGGTCCTAATCCTCGCCCACTGTATCCAAAACTAAAAAAGACAGGAAAACGTTATAATTGACGTTTATTATCCACTTTGTCATTTTTTTTTTTTGCACTTCCAGATGTTTAAAGTATCTATTAGTCCTTCGAAAACTGACAGTGGAGCCCACAGAAACCAGCCAGAGTCTTCCTTTTATTGGGTGGAATGTTGAATGTAATTGGATGTTACTGACAACACTGATAGTTCTTTCTTCACACTTTCTCTCTAACAGAATTCTTTGTTTTGTGTCTTGCAGGTATTCTTTTGGTAAGTGTCCTGACGGGGAACATGTCTGCCCTATTCTTGTCTGTATCGCTGTAAGTGTGTAGTAATTGCATGGCTCACATGTTTACATTACATTTGCCTTGACTATTGTAACTCCCTCCTCATTGGCCGACCTCATCGCAGGCTATCCCCTCTTCAGTCTATCATGAATGCTGCTGCCAGACTCATCACCTTACTAACCGTTCTGTATCTGCCATCCCTCTCTGCCAATCCCTCCACTGGCCTCCACTCAGTTCCTCCATCCCTCTCTGCCAATCCCTCCACTGGCTCCACTCAGTGTCCTCCATCCCTCTCTGCCAATCCCTCCACTGGCTTCCACTCAGTGTCCTCCACCCCTCTCTGCCAATCCCTCCACTGGCCTCCACTCATTGTCTCCACCCCTCTCTGCCAATCCCTCCACTGGCCTCCACCCAGTGTCCTCCATCCCTCTCTGCCAATCCCTCCACTGGCCTCCACTCAGTGTCCTCCATCCCTCTCTGCCAATCTTTCCACTCAGTGTCCTCCATCCCTCTCTGCCAATCCCTCCACTGACCTCCACTCAATGTCCTCCACCCCTCTCTGCAATCCCCTCCACTGGCTTCCCATTGCCCAACGGATAAAATTCAAAACATTAACAATAACATATAAAGCCATTTATAACTCTGCCCCAAATTACATCACCAATCTTGTCTCCAAATATCACCCAAACCGTCCTCTCCGCTCCTCGCACGACCTCCTGCTCTCTAGCTCTCTCGTCTCCTCCTCCCCCAAGCTCGTCTCCAGGACTTCTCCAGAGCTTCCCCCATGCTCTGGAACTCTCTACCCCAATTTATCAGACTATCGCATACTCTGCTCACTTTTAGGCGATCTCTGAAAACCTATCTCTTCAGGGAAGCCTATCCTGCCCTCAGCTAATAATGGAATCTTCTACTCCTCCTACCAGTCCATCCCCCACATTTATTACCTTTTGTACCACTAGCCCCTCCCTCTTAGATTGTAAGCTCCAAGGATCAGGGCCCTCCTAACCCTCTTGTATTGAACTGTATTGTTGCTGTATTGTCTCCCGTTATTTTTAAAGCGCTGAGCAAACTGTTGGCGCTATATAAATCCTGTATAATAATGAGGGCAATAATGAGGGAAACTACAGTATAATGGTACAAAATACAGTCTAAGGAAGTCATGCGGAATTATTAACATTTTGTATTGGATGATAAAATACATATGAATCTATAACAAACTGTAACTTAGTAAGTGTAACACGCGTGTAGTCATAGGCCACCCCTTTCTTTTTGCTGGATGATGGTGTTTGATACATGTATGTATTCTAAAGAGGTCCTGTACTGTGAAATCCAGCAAGCAGAAGGAAAAGGACCCCAATATTGCCTGTAAGTTCCCTGTAGCCTTTTCCCAATACTAAAGCCAGCAGACAAATGCCCTTTTTGTTTGTTTTTGTTTTTTTGCATGTTGGTCTCATATTAACCACTTGCCTTCCTGAGGATTTTCCCCCCTTCCTCACCAGGCCATTTTTTGCGATACGGCGCTGCGTTACTTTAACTGACAATTGCGCGGTCATGCAACGCTGCACCCAAATTAAATTTACGGCCTTTTTTCCCTCAAATAGAGTTTTTTTCTGGTAATATTTAATCGCCTGTGCATTTTTTATTTTTTGCTCTATAAACAATAAAAGACAATTTTGAGAAAAAAAACAATATTTTTGACTTTTTGCTATTAAATATGTCCAGTAAAAAAAAATTTTAAAAATCAAATTTCGTCATAAATTTAGGCCAGAATGTATTCTACTCCTCATCTTTGCTAAAGAAAAACCCAATACGTGTAAATTAATTGGTTTGCATGAAAGTTATAGCGTTTACAAATGGCAGTATAGATACTGGATTTTTTTTATTTTTATTTTTATTAGTAATGGTGGCGATCAGCGACTTATAGCGGGACTGCAGCGGGCATTCTGACACTGGAGGGAACTGACTTGGTGTCACTGACATCCCCAGTGACACCAATACATTGATCAGTGCTAATAAAAAGCACTGACACTGTACTAATGGCACTGGGCAGGAAGGGTTTACCATCTGGGGTGATCAAGGGGTTAATTGTGTGCTGTTTCACTATGTTGGCTGTGTGTTTTTCACTGTTAGCACACTGCTTTGTACGGTTTATACACAGGTCTCTCCCCCATCAGAAGATACTCGGCGATCACTGGGTGCTGGCGAGTAATCACCAGCCGGGACCTGGTGATTGACCATCGAAGCCGCGAATGGCTGCACAGGTAGGGCGCGTGCGCCCCCTACCCGGAACTGCAAAATCACGTATATATACGTGATTTTGCACACCCGTGCCATCCTGTAGAAGTATTTCTGCTATAGTATGGCACGGAAATGGTTAAAAATAGGTTACTAACGTTACAAATATATTCTCATAAGACAGAATGCAACTTCGGAAGTGACTTATTATATTGTAATGTGTTGTTTCATTTTTGAGCATGCACAGTCTTCGCCACTCGATTTTTTACAGACAAATACTGCACTGATTAAACGAAAATTGTTAATTCTGATATTGGAGGAGAAACATTTTTGTGCTTGTCCCTTCAGATAATTTTGCATGAACTGTCATGATTACCTCTTGAAAGCTGTGTATTAACGATCAGATTATCAGACGATCGCTCCCAAAGCGGTATTTTGTGTCCGATTTTCTCATTGTGTGTACTAGGCTTAAGATACAAAGTCAAGAGCACTTCAAATAACTGCGATTCACACATTCATTGTGAAGACAGATCACATAAATGATATGAAAATAATGTTTTGAGACCTTGCAGGGTCCCTTCTTCACTACTGGCCGCTATGTTGCCTTGATGAAGAGACCTTGCTGGGCCCTGATACATCAGTTTGTTATGGCTTATGTGATGCTGTCTTCACAAAAAAAATATGAATTGATGCCAGTAGATTGATATCCTTGTACCTCGTATTGGCACGGCAGTCATTTTAAGCACCCACCAATTTTTCAAAGGATCCCATTGATTTTGTCCACTACATAATTGCTGTGCCTTGTGCCTCTGTGTGCAGGCAGCCATCCTTGTAGAGACAGGGTTTACCGTCTTTATGTCAGAGCCCCCCCCTGATTACTGGCAATCTGATGAATAGTGGGGGGGGGATATTCAAGAAGCAGCTAGAAGCAAAGGAAGCACAGAACCACGGAATGGGTGAAGCAGAAGTAGGGAATTCTTGCCCTACTGGTCCTCTGGTATAGTTTCCACTCCAGCAAGGAAAACGTTGAGCAGCACAGTAGTGACATCACCAAATCTCACTCCAAATGTCCTGAGATTAGAAGTCAGAGGTAACACTGCCTTAAATGATCTATGGGGCTACAGAACAGGAGTGCCTAGATGCAATCAGGTCTGGAAGTGAACTTCTATTTTTCTGGACAAGTAAGGGAAAAAAAATGTAGATCTATTAGGATACAGTCTAGGTACAATTAACATTTTTAGATTTTCCCTGCAATATAGCAAATCTTCACTTTCTGAGTTCAGGTCCACCTAAATTAGTGAATGCGGTTGCAATGTACATCCAGAATCCAGCACCACCCTCCACTTAAAATTTCTCAGTAGAAGTTTGGACTTTGAATGCAGACAAATTCAGGCCATCTGGAGCAAGGAATTGGCTGAGGAGGTTGGGGCCAAATAAAAGATTTCTTAGAAAATTATCATTTAAAGGGGCAATTAACCCAGAGGTGATACTCTATTTATGAATGTATCCGGATGGGCTGGGCTCCTGGTTTCTGGGATAATCCCAATGGCAAGATTTCACTGTCGCAGTTCCCAACTGTCTTTCTGGGAGGTATGGATGTTTCTGCCACCTTTGCATGATGGGCAAAGCAAGAGATGCACTTTGACAGCCTCACTAGCTGCATATACTTCCCTTTCCTTTGCCCCTGCTCGGTCTAATCACTGGGAGAGAAGGAGGTTTATCTCTGTGTAAGCTACTTAAAGCTGAACTACGCTGCATCCAAGCATCACAAACCAAAAATGCTGTTCAATTCATTTTTAATATTCAAAAGAAACTCACTCATCCATCCATCCATCCATGTTTCCATGCTTTATTTTGCCGAGAAATCATTTTGAAAGGCACACCTTTTTTTTTTTTTCTTTGGCTATGGACATCTTGAGTAAGGTCAGATGATCCATGTAGCATTTGCATCCTGGAATTTGTCTGCCCTTAGCTCAGGCATGCAGGCAAATGGGTGTGCTTGGATGAAAAAAAACCTCCTCCCCTCCTGAAGACTCCTGGGATGTATGACATCATTTTGGCTCAGGCAAGAAACCAGGAAGTAACTGAAGAGGTGAAACAAAGTTTAAAACAAATATGATATAAAGTTTCTATCTGTTTCACTAATGCTAGTATTGTAAGGATTAAATATAGTCAGTGTGGATTGAGAGAGTGAAGTTCTGCTTTAATGCTCACACAGAGCCGAGAACTCTGTCCCTTCCAAGAGTCTGAGAAACAACTTCTGTAATGTAGTAGAAAAAGGAATCGCATGCAGGGCTGTCTTAATAGCATCATGGGCCACTGATCAAAGTAATGCACTGGGGCCCCTATGAGCCTTCCCCAATTTATGGACCTACTCTTAAGAATGAAAGTATAAATATTTGATAGAATTAAACATTCTGTATATTTAATAAATACTTTCAATAAAATTAGTTCTAAGCATCAAGATAAAATGCAATAAGTCAAAGAATAAAAAGAATAATCAATACAAAGGGTACGGGGGGCGGAAGCGCACAGTACAGGGGGCATAGTTGGTCATAGTACAGGGGGATCGGGGGAACAATTCTGCGATCAGGAGGGCACATTGAAGATTATGGGATGCTGCCACGATCGTAAAAAAGTGTGATTATCCCAGCAAATCGGGATAGCTGGCAAGTATGATGTAAAGCAAGATTACCATGGGGCCCAAATGTACCTGGGGCCCCTGGGCCTTGCATTAAGATGGCCACGGTCACATGATCTCCATACCTGAGAGCATAAAAAGGTATGTGCTGCAGGGCAAGGGGGGTTAAAGTGAAGCTTTTTCTTTGCTCGCATAATCAAAGCACAGGTTGTCTTTATCCAATCTCCATTTGTTTAAAGAAGAACTGTAGAAGTTAGGAGAAATCAAATAGCTGCTGATACTATCCCTTCTACTACTAGCTTGAAGCTTTGTGGGCTCTGCCCAGCACTATACAACATTTCCAGATACAGACAATTTATCTAATTTGATTACATTTCAAACATAGTTCTCAGTTGCATCATTTTTTTTAAATATCTATCTATCTATCTATCTATCTATCTATCTATCTATCTATCTATCTATCTAGTGGCTAAATGGTTAGCACTCCCACATGGCAGTACTAGGGTCATCGGTTCAAATCCCAACCACAGCATCACCTGCCTGGAGTTTGCATATTCTCCCTGTGCCTGCATGGGCTTCCTCCGGGTACTCTGGTTTCCTTTCCACACTCCAAAGACATGTTGGTAGGTGAATTGGCTCCTGTCTAAATTGTCCCTAGTATGTGTATGTATGAATGTGAGTTAGGGAACTTAGATTGTACACCCCTTGAGGGTTAGGGACCTTAGATTGTACGCCCCTTGAGGGTTAGGGACCTTAGATTAGATTGTACTCCCCTTGAGGGTTAGGGACCTTAGATTGTACACCCCTTGAGGGTTAGGGACCTTAGATTGTACACCCCTTGAGGGTTAGGGACCTTAGATTGTACACCCCTTGAGGGTTAGGGACCTTAGATTGTACACCCCTTGAGGGTTAGGGACCTTAGATTGTACACCCCTTGAGGGTTAGGGACCTTAGATTGTACACCCCTTGAGGGTTAGGGACCTTAGATTGTACACCCCTTGAGGGTTAGGGACTGATGCGAATGTACAATATATATGTAAAGTGCTGTGTAAATTGACAGCGCTATATAAGTACCTGAAATAAATAATAAATAAATCTATCCGTTTATTCATCTGTCCATCCATCTATCTGCATTAAAAACGTCCTTTTCAATGGGGGTGCTTCCAGCTTTCTGTGAGCTCCCGGTGCGTAGAGCAGGGCCCAGATCTGAGTGGTCAGCCTAGCCCAGCTGCTCACAAACAGGTATCAGTCCTTAGTCTCCTGTGTGTGTTATAAAGAGTGGTTTGAACTTTTTTTTTTTCAATAACAGAGGATTCTGTGATTAGAAATGAATGTAGCAGAGGGCTACATGTGCCTCCTTGGGTTGGAGTCCTTCCAGAGTTTTTCATTGTTATACAGACAGATCTTTAGCACATACACTGTTAGTGCCCACATGTAGACATTCTGGTATTTTGAGGGTCTACATCTCCTCTGCATTTGTTTCCTCAGCAGTGGTACTTCACAACACCCCTATATTGCAACTCTTCCAAGTGGAGTTATTTACTAAAAACTGCACGGTGCAAAAACTGGTGCAGCTCTGCAGAGAAACCAATCCGCTTCCAGGTTTTATTGTCAAAGCTTAATTGAACAAGCTTAACTGCTTCCCGTCCGCCCTATAGCAGAAATACTGATACAGGGCGGCACGGGTGCGCAAAAACACGTATATATACACATGATTTTGCAGTTCTGGGCAAGGGGCGTGCACGCCCTATCCGCGCTGCCACTCGCGGTCTCGGCTGTCAATCACCAGGTCTCGGCCAGTGATTACTCGCTGGCACCCGGTGATTGGCGAGTATTACCGACGGGGGAGAGGACTGTATGTAAACAATACAGTTCTTACCCCTGTCAGCTCCTGCACACTGCTTTGTAAGGCTCATATATATATATATATATATATATATATGTGTTTATTATCTCTGTTTTTAGCCCTGCAATATGTAGGTGCTTTTCTTCCAGTACCAAAACAATATGTGTTTCAGTAAATCTGTAGACTAGAAGCAGAAGTCTTTGTTTTGTTAGCAGACCATTTAGTAACTTTACAAGTCATCATGAATAAATTCCTGACATGTCACAATATACAGCACCAGTATAATTTCTCAAAAAATCCACACCCTTTATCATAACCCCCCTGGCGGTATTCCCGAGTGTAGCTCGGGGTAAAGTTTCAGCACCACAAGCGGTAACCCCGAGCTACACTCGGGAATACACTGCAGCGTTGCTCCGGGATCTCT